GCCCCGGGGGTGGGTGTGGGGCGGTGCCACACGCGTTGCATGACGTGGCGGGCACCCTCTGTGCATGAGGAAGGGCAGGCTGCTGCCGTTTGCCAGGTGCGTGGTGCGCGGCCCGTGGGGGACGCCCCTCCCCCACCCCGCTAATCCTCAGGGCGTGGAGTCTTGTTCCCTGCTTACTCAGCACACCCTTCCGATCCTGCTCCAATTTGCCCCGGGAGACAGGGGAGGAATTTGGGCCTCGGGGCTCCACCTCTCCTCTGTCCTGCCCAGCTCTGCCTCCTCCCAGGGTGCTCATCCTAGCTGCTCCCCTAGCCCTCCACTCCCCACCTCCGGCAGAGAGACCCCAGCCCCTCCTTAGTGTGTCCCAGGCCTCTGAGCTTCCCGGGGCTCCCCTGGTCAGCAGAACAAGTCTCCGCTTTCTGCCACTGCCTGGAAGCCTCTGGCATTTACAGTCCAGGCAGACAGAAAGGCAGAGCAGGACTTCCAGTCCCTGGGGCGACCTCCCCAGGGCAACCTGACTGTTATCCAGAGTCCTCAGCTCTACAAAGGTTAGTGGCGCCCGTCCAGGTGTGGCCAGAGGTGCGCACAGGAGCCCCACTGCCGTTCCTTTGCTGTGCGACCCTGGGGAAGTCACACAGTCTCTCTGGGCCTGTGTCCTGATGGCTGGAGGACATAATGCCGGTGAGGGAGCCATTATTCAACTCCTGCAGTTGCGCAGGACTGGCGATGGGGGGCGGGTGTTCCTCTGGTTACCTTTTAACCCTGGCAGGCAGCCGGGGTGGGGCAGTTACCTTCCCCTTGGCCTCACAGCCCCTCCTCTGAGGCTGAGAGGACAGTGTGAGCGGTCCCCAGGGCACCTAGCGTGTCCTGTATTTACCCATGCACCTGGCGTTCCCTGAGCACCCCGCTCCTGCAGCCCGTGTGAGACCCTGCTGGTACACAGGCCGAGACGCCCTCTTGTTTCTGGAGCCCCCAGTTGAGACTAGCTCTGCCCCTAGGGACCTTGGTTAAACGTCATCCCCAGGCCTCTTCCTTCCAGCCCAGCAGTGCTCCGCAGGCTGAACGAAACCCCCTCCACGCTCACGCCTGTGCTAGGGACCCAGGCAAGCGGCGAAGAAGAGGGCGCTGTGTACCTGTACCCAAGCAGAGCCAGCAACAGAGGACTGGAAAGAGTCATGGCTTAGGGGTGGCAAAGGAGAAAGCAGGGCTGGAGTTTTGGAGAGGTTTCCCATGGAAGTGACCAGTGGCCACAAGGCCTTCTGGGGTGGGGGCTGCTGGGCCCCAGCGAACAGCTTGCCCGGCCTGCCCGACTTCCGGCGCTGGCCTGCTCCCCAAAGCGCCTCCCCCTGTGCCCAGAGCCCCGTCAGAGCCTCAATGTCCTCCTGCTCCGTCCCTGGGGCTGAGGAAGCTCATCTCCAAGCACTTTTTGGCTTCTCCATCTCAGGCTGTTGGGTGGTTGGTAAACAGCTTATTAAGGTGATTAACGCTGCAATTAAAGCTGGAACAACAGTGGCCAGGGTGCTGGGGAAGGTCCCTCCCCTCCTGCGCTGGCCCCTTCCCTCCATCCCCTCTGGGCTGAGTTGATGCAACTCCGCCGCCTTGGCTGACCAGGGCCCTTGCCCTGGCGCTGGGAGCCTGGGCCTGGGAGGCTGAGGTGCAGGGGTCCCCACTTGGCTTTTCCCCATTTCGCTCACCTGATCCTGGGGTTGGAGGGGCAGTGATCTGGGGACGGGATGGCACTGGGATTGGGATTGCGAGGTCGCTAAGGTCCCCCAGGACACCACCAGATAGGGTGAGAGACCATCTTCTCCTGGGTGTCCCCTGGCAGGAAGGCCAGGAGCTCTCCCTTCCCCAGAGAGACCAGGAGTCAGGAGAGCAGGAGAGGGCACCCCTGAGGTGCTGGACACTTTGACCATGGCCATTCTGTGGGCCCAGTGCCCAAGGAGGCGTCTAGGGACCCTCCGGGTCTGTTCCTGTCCTCCCTTCAGCACTGGCCTGGTGCGTGGAGCCCCGGAGACTGGAGGGGGGAGTCATTCTGCAGATGAGGTCCCCAGGGAGACTGTTCCCTGGGCTCTTGCATTTGCCTGTGGCATTCCCTTTGTCTTCCAAGGCATAATACAGATGCCACCTCTTCTGGCCCTGGAGCTCCTAGCATAGGGTTTGCGCCTTCCTTTCCCAGACTTTGGCCATCTATGGTTGGCAGATAGCAAGCACTCAATAAATACTGGCTGTTTTGTTTGAGGGCCTTCACACTGAGTTGCACCTCCAGCCCTTTTCCTATTTTACATTTTGAGACAAGATCTCACTAAATTGATAAGTTGCCCCCAGGCTGGGCTTGAATGGGTTCCTCCTACCTCAGCCTCCCGGAATGCTGGAATAATAGACATGTGCCACCAGGTCCAGCTGCCTTATTCCTTTTTGAGTGTATTGAGAGATGGCAGAGCAACTGATGTAACAGGTGCAGCCAGGGTACCTCATCAAATGCTCGGTACCTTGGTAAGCATTTTACCATGTAATTCTCTCTCCAGCTCAGCTACGTCGATACATTGCAGATGAGGGAACTGAAGTTTAGGAAGGTTAAGTGACTTGCCCAAAGTCACACAGCCAGCGGGGGGTGGAAGCGGGATTCAAATCCAGGTCTGCTGACTCTGGCTTGCATATTCCTAACCACAGTGTGGAGCTTTTCTGAGGACCTTCTCAGGGAGGAGGCCCTGGCCTCCCCTGCAAGTCTCATCCCCCAGGAAGAACCCAGGGAGGAGGAGGGTGGAGTTACGGGGGCTCTGGCTCTCTGGTCTCTGCCCCAGACATCTTGGGAAACTGATGTGCAAAAGCCCACAGTAAAGAGCACCTGTTCCCTGTACAGACCTGGGTTCGAGTCCTACATTTTCAAGTAGTATTTGGTATGTGACCAATAGCGATCTTGACAGGGCTGAGACTCTCCCTTGTTTTCTCTTTCCTCCCTCCCTTTCTCCTTTCCTTCCTTCCCTCTTTCCTTTTTTCTTTCCTTCCTTCCTTTTCTTTTTTGTGCTAGAGATTGAACCCGAGGTCATGTGCACACTAAGCCCGTGTCCTACCTCTGTAGCCTCAGTTTTCTCATCCAAAGAATGGGCCCTGTACACTCACCTGCCAAGCTATTATGTGAGGATCACATGCAAAGTGCCTGGCGCAGTGGCAGATTAGCAAATGCCAGCTGAGCTGTCACTCAGATTTGGAGAACAGTGACCCTCAGGGCAGCCTGGCATTCCCTAGTCTACCCCTTCCTTCCCCAAAGGTTGTCATAAGGTAGTGGGTGTAGTCACGGAGCCCCCACTCCAGAAGATGGGCTGTGTCACCCCACCCGGGCGTGCTGCCTGGCCCCCACCCAAGTCCCTGTCCCCTCAGCAGGCCGGTAAAGAGGAGGACAGGGAGGTCAGGGGTGGGGCTGACCCCCCTGGAAGGTCACCCGGGCAGTTAAGCCAGCCCAGCAGAGCAGGGAGGAATTAGGGAGCTTACAACACCCTTTCATCCCGCCTGCCTGCCCAGCCTCCCTCCTTCCTTCCTCTCCTTCTGCCCTTTTTCCCTTCTCCCTCCCTTTGCTGGCAGCCCAGCCCTAATAAAATGCAGTGTCTCCAGCGAGTCTGCCCGGCTGCCGCCTCCTGCTCCTGCCGCACGCAGCCCTCAAACCAAACTGCTCAGCTCAGCCCCGCCTGGCAGCTGCCACCTTAACCCTTGCCAGCCCTCTGGCGTCCGTGGGCTGAGGCCTCCTCCCTTCCGCCTCCCTGGGGCGGGTGGGCGGTTGTAGGGGGAGCAGAAGGAGCAGAGGGGGCCAGGGAGCTCCTGCCAGGAGAACCTGGCCTCCACGCCCCGACTGTCCACCAAGTCCTCTCTGCGCTCCTGAGGTCCTTGCCTTCTCTCCTCACTCTGCTTTGCGCCTCCCAAGCTCTCCAGAGACCAGCAGGGTGGGGACTGTTATTCCCATTTGACAGATGAGGACACCGAGGGCCTGGCTGGGAGTTTCCGAGCTGAGCTGGGTCACTTTGGCTGCTGGGTGGTGTTGCTGATTCTCTAAACAAGATTTTCCATTCCAGGGAGCTCCCTCTGCCGCAGTGCGCGTGTGTATGGGTGATGCCCGAGTGACCTGAGTGCCTCTGTGTGCTTGCGTGTTGGGGTCTGGGATCTCGCTGAGGGTCGTGGCTTTGACTTTGTTACATCTGCGTGATGCTACCGTGTCTCAGGTGTGTGTCTGCATCCTCGTCCTCGGAGGTCCCCGCAGATGACAACCTGGCCTCGAGCGGGAGTACCCGGATGTGTGACGAGAGCTGTTACCGTGCGCCGGATAGCAAGCTCGTGTGTTCCTGTGTCCTTGCCTGTGCCTAGACGTGGGCCGCCCTCCCCCTCCACGCACTGTCCCGGCCCAGCTCTCCCCTGGGGCTGCACTTGGAGCTAGAGGAGGGGTGTCGGGGTATAAAGTGCTGAGTGAGGCCTGAGACTTCCCTGAGCAGGTAACGCAGACCCCACCCACCCCTTCGCCTCCTCTCCCAGCCTGGCCACCCCGCCAGCTGTGGGAGCAGCGGGGTTTCCCCTGCCTGAGGCCCCACCTTCACCCCAAGCTGGGAGGGACAGACGGGAGGCGAGGGGCCGGGAGTGCCTGGGTGTGGAGACAGGGGGTTTACACGCGTGTGCAAGCATGTCTGCGTGTGAGCTCAGGATCAAAGAGCAGCCCCGAGGTGACCTGGCAGCGACGGTGGCAGAGGGCAGCTGGCTGACAGGGGACGCCACGCTGCCGCTGCCGAGAGCAGAGCGGAGTCAGAGAGGCCACAGCTGGGAGCCTCCTGCCCAGCCCTGCCCGGGTCAGGGCAGCCACAGGGCCAGGGGCACCTGCCACCTGCGGCCAGGCCCAGCCCAGCGTCTCCCTGTCTCCCCCAGCCAGGAACCCCTGGAGTCTCAGTGGTCCCCAAGCCCCAGGCCTCCCCCACCGAAGAGCTGCCTGCCACCAGCCTCCTGTTCAAAGAGCACAGTGGTTCTTTTCTTTTTTTTTATTAACATTATATATAAAGATGGGTCCAGTAAGAAAGCAGAATCGAGAAGGCTGGGAGGGGTGGGAGCTGGCTTCGTTCCTGTCCCCCTGGGGTGGGACTGGGAGACCCACCATGTCTCTCCTCACTCCTACACCTCCCAGGAAGCCCAAATCCAGCCGGAGCCCACATCTCTCTCAACGCACAGGGAGATCCATCCAGGAGAAAAAGGGTCACATAAATAGGAAACCACAGGAGGGAGGAGGCCGCTTCTCTCTGTTGCTCTTAAAAAAAATACATACTATATATATATAGCTACAGTCTTTTACCTCTCCTCTCCTTCGATGTTTCACCACATCACGGGTGGAGACGGGTTAGCTTTGGGGGGACGCCTGGGCCAGCCCTCCTGGCCGCCAGCCCTCACCCCTAAGGCACTGGGTCACAGCCCTGCCCTTCCCACAGAGCGCCACACTCACCCCAAGTTCTCCAGCTCGGCGGAGCAATCTATTTCCAAGGCCACCAGAAAGGGGGTGTCTAGGGCTTTGTCTTGCCTGGCGTATCTCTGTGGAGATTTGGGGTTTGGTGCCCAACCTGACAACTTGTTGGAGAGAAGGAGGAGGAAGGGGAGGAAGAGGAGGCGGAGGAGGAGAGGGGAGGCAGAGGCGGGACACAGCTGCCCACCAAGGGGGAGATTTGGTCCTATCTGGTAACAATGCCCTTTGTTTTCTTATTTTTCAACAGCTTTTAAAACCAAGGTTGTGCAAAGTCCTGTACATGGAGGAGGAAATGGGGTACTTAGGAGAACCATGGAGATGCCCTCCCAGCAGAGGGGGGAAGGGGTGATGGCTCCTAGAATTCTTCCCCCAAAAGCCCCCGGATGTAAAAGATTCCCTCACTGGGGGTGGTTTCTTTGGTTTAACCCTCAAATCTTGAACGAGGGCTACAAGTGCGGGCCGGGTGGAGATCAGGTCCCCACCCCGAGTCCCAGTCATGATGTCCAATGTCTCTTTGGCAGGAGGGCCGTGCAGGAAGGAGAGGCCCCAGGTTGCTTAGGAGGAGCCCAACATGGCGGGGGTCAGGATCCATCACGCCTGGTGCCCCAGCCCAGGCTCAGCTTAGAAACACTCCATGTCCCTGTCCCCTGGTCTCCAGTCCGGGGAGCGCTTAGGCTTGAGGTGCTTGAAGGTGATGAGCTGTTAAAGCTAATCCAGGCTCCCCCTGGGGTGAATGTGCCCGCATCTGGAGGGGCGCCCCAGTTCTAAGCAGGGGAGGGAGGTTCAGGGGACATTCTCGGCCCGTGCCAAATTCATCTGGAAACTCTTGGGTCCCTGGAGAAGGGACTGGGGAGGGAGACAGCTGGCCCTTCCCCTGTGCTCCTCGGTGATTCCTGAGTGTCGCTAGGACGGAGGCACTTCTGCCTGGTCCCGGGTCCTTCGTGGGGGCACAGGCCAGGAGGAGCTCAGTACACAGCCCCGGGGTTGGGTGGGGGTCCCGGGGAGGCGTGGTGCAGGGTGGCAGGCTGCGGTGGCTGCTGCTGTAAGTGGGGTCCGCTCAGGTTCTGTGCGTGGTACCAGGAGTTGGTGGGGTCGTCCAGGTAGCTGGGGGAGGCGCTGTACGGAAGCGGCGGGGGCAGCTGGCTGCGAGCAGGGGCTGGCGTGGAGTGGGAGGAGGTGTCCCAGAGGGCTGGTGACGGCGGGGAGTTGCAGGCCATGGAGTCGCTATTGTTGGGACTGTGCTCCAGGGGCACCTCCCCGTTCTTGTATAGCTTCTTGAACTTGGACCGGCGGTTCTGGAACCAGATTTTCACCTGGGCCGGAGAAGAAAGGGGCAGCTGGTTAGCACTCAGGATGCGGACAGAAGCCCTGCCGGGAATCTAGCGTGGACCAGGCCCAGCCAGCACCTGATGTCGCCCAGTGAAAACCAGGTGAGACCCAGGCTTCCTGACTCCCAGGCCAGCAGCCCTTTCTACCTGTCTAGAACCGAGGCCAGGAACATTCGCCTGCCTGGTCCAGGTTCTGCTCTGCCACTGGCTAAGTGTGACCTTGGGCACGTTGCTTAACCTCTTTGGACTGGCCTTCCTCTCTTCTGCAAAGTGGGGACAGTGACAGCATTGCTACCTCACAGGGTCATTACGAGGCTCAAGTAAGTTAGGACACCTGAAAAACTTAGGACAGCCCAATACAGCAAGCACGAAATAGACCAGGATAGGGAGGTAGAGATAGAGACCACTGCGTACCAATACACCGAGTGGGACATGGGCAGTTTGTGGCATTTCATTCATGTTAGATGCCATAAACAGAGGGATGCGAATATGCAAACACACACCCCCACACGCATCTCCATGCCCAGCCACGTACCCACTCACAGTTTCACACATGCACACACCACCCTCCAAAGCTCCACACATACACAGATCCACCCAGATAAACAACGCACGCACCCACAGTCACACGCGCGCTCAGGTGCCAGGTCCTCTTGGGCTCAGGCTCGGTAATGGGGGTGGCCTGGGGACTCAGGAGCAGGTGAGCCACAGTTCCCCAAATTTCCCCTGGGGTATCTCCCCCTCCCCTGCTGCTCCCCACCCCATGACTGGCACAAACAATGAATCAGCTCCTTACCCGGTGACCCAGATTCCCGGCGGACAGGGCCCCACGCAGCCACAACCAAGGCCCGCCTGCCAACACCTGCAGCCAGCCAGGCGTCCCCACTCCTCCCCTGAGCAGGGACAGGCTGCTGGGGGCTTTGGGGACAGAACGAGGGGGCAGTGGGGCTCCCTGTCCTCACTCCTGGCAGAGGCAGGGCTGAGCACCTGGCTGCTGGGCGAGGATGGGGTGTCCTGACACCGGCAAGCCTTTCTGTACTCCTGTGCTCAGGGGGTGCGGTCCCCATCTTTGTGCACAGGGACCCTGAAGGGTCACGTTCCTGATGTGAGCATCCTCGTGTGTGCGCAGGCCCCGCTGTGCAAGCAAATGCACACGCACACCTAGCCTGTGTGTGTGAAAAGTACAACGTGGACTCCGACGATGCCAGCCACACAGCTAGGGATCTTGGGACCTGGGGATTCTGGAATGGAGGATGCAGGCTTCTCTGTCCGCCAGACATACACCGTTGCATAGGATCACAACTGCATACACACACGCGCACACGCACACGCACACGCTAAAGCAGGATCTGTCTACACAATCTGAGATGTGAGGTCCTCTATCCTACAGGCAAGGGTTCCCAGCGCCAGCAGGGCCCTTACGGAGCCAGTCAGGCTCAGGTGCGCCTGGGGGCCTCTGGGGTCCTGCGCGCTCCCTGCGGCCCCGGCCCTCGCGGCCCAGTACCAACCTGTGTCTGCGTGAGGCCCAGCTGTGCGGCCAGCTCGGCGCGCTCAGGCAGCGCCAGGTACTGGGCTTTCTGGAAGCGGCGCTGCAGGGCGGCCAGCTGGTAGCTGGAGTAGATGGTGCGCGGCTTTCGGACCTTCTTGGGCTTCCCGTTCACCATGCGCACCTCGGCTTCCGGCTCCTCCTTCACCGACACTGCGGGGACGCATGGGTGGGGGGCGGTTCAGCCTCGGCCTGCGACCCCGGCGGCGCGCCGTCCCTCCCTTCGACTCGCCCCGGCCCGCGCCCGAGGTGGGAGCCGCGGCAACAGAGGCGGACGGGCGGCCGCCCACGACGC